ATTTTTAAGTAAGTAAGGAAAACAATGTAACAAGTACAAATACAAAAAAGAGGCATAGTAATAATTAATAGAGACAATATAGCATTTTGACCCACATTCCATTCTAGTAGGTGGCGGTAAGGCAGAGTAACCCTTGGCTGCAGACTGCGGTATGGGGCGGGGTCAGATAACAGGCAGGGTCGGACGTCTGACCCCGCCCTCAACTCTGAAATTAACCAACCCCATATGCTAAATACTAAAATTAACCACGCCCAATTTTTTAAGCCTCCTATTAAACTTACCTACAAGCCATGACCACAACCATTGGACATCCAACCCTGTCTAGTATCCTAATCCACAGTCTGCAGCCGGGGGTACTTGGTAATGCACACCACAAGTTGTTTGCCAACAGCCAATAAAAAATATTTATTTATTATTATTTATTTATTCACCGTTCTTTAACCAGGCAAGTGAAGAAGAAGGCAATATGAAGAAGAACAAAGAGAGAAAACGTCAGGGGTGAGTGATGAGTCTGATTTAGCATAAAGATAAGTAGAAATGTCTGCACTGTGATGTTTGTTACTCCAATAATTAACCACCTTCTTCATCTTTTTAGGACAGATGAATATCTTTTAAAATATGAACTCTTCAAAAGTAATGCCTTTGTCCTTATTAACAAGATGATTCAACTGTGCAATAAAACTCATGGAAGTCAACATCTGGTGGATGAGGTGGGTTAAAGAATTTTTTTTGTAATTTGTTGTATTTTTGAAAATCTAAGAGGCTTCTCCCTCTTGTTTTCTTTCCAACTCAACAGATTTGTTACAGTATCTTCTTTTTTGGACAAATATTTGATCCCAATGGAAACCTGAACATTTATCCAAAAGATATTTTCGGTGATGACCAGACATTCATCGAGAAATTAAGCAGCAAGTATAACAAACCATTTGAATACTTTCACAGTCAGACTTCCACTGAGCGTCCACTTCCCAGACGGAGTCCATTCTCCTGTGTTTTGGATATGGTAAGGGAAAATGTTTCCAGACCAGACATACCTCTCTTATAAACATGTTTCTCTGTCTCATTTTCTCAATCTGCAGTACACTTTTCTGAGCTTTGCTGCTATAGATAAGAAGCTGACATGTTTAGTTTTTTGTTAAAAATAGTGTGTGGCTGACGTAAATCTGAACCTGTTTTTATGCTACTAGAGTGTAAAGTTTAAATTTTAGTTGGCAGTTTTAAACAGTCAATTTTCCGTCATAATTTCAGAGTTTTTTGCTTTCTGACAACAAAAACAGTAACTCGTGAGTGAGAGCAGCTTGTTTGGAAGTTACAGTTTTTTATATTAAAGTTTTTCTTATTTGCTAAAATACTAAACCCTGTTTGAACCAAATGCTCAGTGTCCTGAACCCATTTACTGAAATGGTCAAAGTTTTGGTACAACCTTAAGACATTTCATCCAGTTAGAAACAACCTGTAAACCTATTTTCATGTAAAAAAAAAAAAAACACATTTTGGACTGTGATTCACTTTGACCCCACAATGGTAAGTACAAGTAGCAACAGTTAAATACAAAAAAGCACTGGTGTCTCAACGTCAATATTATATTACAGTTTTTCTTGATTGCTTTGATGCAGTAGTCCGCTCAAACTCCACATTTTCAAAACAGTGACTATAGGACTAAACAGTGACACATTTTGTTTGCAGAAGATTCTAACTGTGCCAACCCATTTACAATATGAAACAAAAGCCAATGTTGTCTTCAAACAACAGAATTTGTAACCAAGTGTGAGAGCTCTTCCAATCACTTATTACGTAATGGACAACATAATACAACATTCGATGCATGTACATCCCATTCATGCTATTTCAGGACCAGACCTAGACATTTGGGGGTCCTAAGCAAGATATGTTTTGGGGGCCCAACTTCAACATAAGTAGACTGTAAAAGATTCACAAAATCAAATGCTGTATGTAAACCTAAGGACATAGTGTCCTGTAATTTACTGCTAACTGAGCATGCTCATTCTAAATGCCATATGAATATGAGAAGATTGGTAAATGAGAACACAGATTGGATAGTTTTAGCACTTTGAGTATCCTAGTTTATTAGAAAGTGCCATATCATTTATTGGTCTGAATGGTGCTCAGTGTTGAAGCTTGTAATATGAGATTAACTTTGTTTGACCACTACAGGAAGCAAACCTAAAGTTTTACATGAAACATATAATATCCATCCAACAGAATAAAAAATCAGATTATGTTTAAACATTTATTCTCTAAATTATAACTATTAACAAGCCAGAAAATAAATTAAATGCTAACACTTTAAATTATAAAATATTCTCACCAATCAGTTACAGGTAAATCAGTTACGTTTTTATAGCTTCTCTGCACACAACTCAGTTTTCCAATAAAGGCATCTTCAATTTGGCATCACACATGAAATTTACCTAATAAAAGACTTAAACCAACCCCAAGGCTGAAGATGATTCAACTTCAGTGTAGGATGATAGACCTGGTAGTAAAAAAACGTATTGTTTTTTAGAGGTTATTACTTTATGTTAGCGTCTTAAAATCTATATAAAACATATTAACAAAGCACTTGAGTATTTCTCTATCTGAAAGAGTGATATATTAGATTTATAGCAAAATTTACCATTGTGTTATTTATTTATATTGATTTGTCATGTCCTGGATGAATCTACAACAGTATATTGCTTTGTTTTTTCCACAAATTATCTTCAAAGTGAAAAATGTAACAAGTTATGTCAAATGCTTTCAGAAGATTTTCCACAGAAATTGCTGATGCACCTCTCTCTACCATCACCATCATCGCCATTAGCATTAATATTAACTACTCTTTGTGCAAATGAAAAATTTGTAACATCATACCATCCAGAAAAGTCATCAGTCAAAAACCATTCAAAGAATAGCAAACCCATGACTATTTTAAACTAACTGAAAAATTTAATTCTGTGAATATTAAAGACAATACTGTAAATATACACCAAAATAAAATCTATCCAGAATAAAAAAATTAGGAAAATAAATATAAAATCTATTTGAGTATAAGAAATACCCACTATTGATAATTGGTCTCTTCTGTCTAAAACAGAATGTAATTGTTGCTAGTTTTATTTAATTTAAAGTATTGTCAAACAAAACTATCTACTTAACCA